AGGAGTTGGTAGAATCGCTGAATCACTGAAGAAGGCACCCTCTACCACCATCACAACCACTACCACCCTCTACCACCATCACTACCACCTGCTACCACTATCACAACTGCTACCACCATCACTACCACCTTCTACTACCATCACTACCACTGTCTACCACTATCACAACTGTTAGCACCCTCTACCACCATTGCTACCACCCTCTACCACTATCACAACTGGCATCCCCTAAAACCATCACTACCACCCTCTACCACTATCACAACTGCTTCCACTCTACCACCACCACCTTCGTATTTTTCTACAAACTTTTTCTTAAATTATATGTGTTTCTCACATTCTTTACCAAAGGGCTGGCACTAGAAGCTTTCTTTGGAGCCATGGCGACTTGTTTAGCAGTTGCAAGCACTAAAACAAATGGAATATTATGAAATGTATCGTATGAACTCGTGGGATCATCCTCACTCACTGATAAACAATGGCACACTGGCTGGAAATGGAATGTGAGGCGGCTAGGGCTGTGTGTATGCATCCCAGACAAACGACTATTTGCGAGTCAAATGAAGATTCGCGAGCCAATGTTTTGACGAAAATAACGTTATGATTTTTGAAAATTACAACTATCGAGCCTTACGATTATCGAGGGACCACTGTACCTCCATCTCTCCATCTACTAACTTCCTTACTGTTTTTAACTGACAAATCCATTCATTCAAGGCTTTCTTGTTTATCTCACTCCAATTTTTTTTCTTATTTTCTGAAAATTTCTTGACAGTGCCTCTCTCACTCTATCATCTGCTCTCCTTTTGCACTCTCTCACAACTCTCTTCACCTTTCTTTTACTCTCCATATACTCTGCTCTTTTTATAACACTTCTGCTTTGCAAAAACATCTCATAAGCTACCTTTTTCTCTTTTATCACACCCTTTACTTCATCATTCCACCAATCACTCCTCTTTCCACCTGCACCCACCCTCCTATAGCCACAAACTTCTGCCCCACATTCTAATACAGCATTTTTAAAACTATTCCCTCTTCAACCCCCCTCCCCCACTACTCATACTTGCACCAGTCCTCCTTTCTGCCAATAGTTGCTTATACCTCACCTGAGCTTCTTCCTCCCTTAGTTTCTACACTTTCACATCTCACTTACTTGTTGTTGCCAATTTCCTTTAGTCCCATCTACCTCTTATTCTAACTGTAGCTACAACTAAATAATGATCCGATATATCAGTTGCCCCTCTATAAACATGAACATCATGAAGCCTACCTATCAACCTTTTATCCACCAATATATAATCTAACAAATGTACTTTCATTACGTGCTACATCATACCTTGTATATTTATTTATCCTCTTTTTCATAAAATATTTATTACTTATTACCAAACTTCTTTCTACACATAGCTCAATTAAAAGCTCCCCATTTTCATTTACCCCTGGCACCCCAAATTAAAAATCACTGTCAGGATACAAATCTTCCTACCTACTACTCCCTCCACAACATTTTTATCCACTTCAGCACTGAAATCCCCAACCACAAGTACTCTCACGCTTGGTTCAAAACTCCCCACACACTCACTCAACAATTCCCAAAGCCTCTCTCTCTCTCCTCTACACTTCTCTATTCTCCAGGTGCATATACGCTTACTATAACTCACTTTTCACAAACCTTTATTTTACTCCACATAATCCTTGAATTAATACATTTATAGTCCCTCTTTTCCTGCCATAGCTTATTGCTACTCCTTCTTTAGTTCTAACTCTATTTGAAACCCCTGACCTAATCCCATATACTTCTCTCCAATAAAACTCTCCCACCCCCTTCAGCTTTGTTGCACTTAAAGCCAGGACATCCAGCTTCTCATTCATAGCATCCACAATCATCTCTTTCTTATCATTCGCACAACATCCATGCACATTCAGATATCCCACTTTCACAATTTTCTTCATCATCTTTTTAGTAATCTGTACAGGAAAAGGGGTTACTAGCCCATTGTTCCGAGCATTTTAGATGAATTTTACAACATGCATGGCTTACAAAGGAAAGATTCTTATTCCACGTCCCTGTGGATATAAAAGGAAAAGTAATAAGAACAAGAACTATTATGATAAAATCAAAGAAAACTCAGATGAGTGTGTATAAATAAACATGTACATGTAGTACATGTAGAAGTAGCAAGACATACCTGTAATCTTGCATATTTATGAGACAGACAAAAGACACCAGCAATCCTACCATCATGCAAAACAATTACAGGCTCTTGTTTTACACTCACTTAGCAGGACGGTAGTACCTCCCTGGGGGGCTGCTGTCTACCAACCTACTATCTATATAAATCCGTATTTAATATGTGCCTCTTGCAAGACTGATGGTTAACCCTTTCAGGGTTTTTATGTACTAGTACGTCTTACGCGCTAGGGTTATTGACATACTAGTACGCATAAATTCTAGGGTCCTCAAATCAAGCAGAAAAAGGCTGGTAGGCTTAGAAGTGAGAGAATGGGTCTCTGTGGTCAGTGTGAGTGGTACAAAAAAAATCGGAGACCCAGTGATGCATTGTGGGAAAACCATTTTATTACACCTTGTTCACCATGTCTAGCGCTAAGAAACTCCTCACTCCTTGGCTAATTGTGGCTCTTTTATTCCCAAGTGACAGTTCAAACACAGATGGAAGTGTCAGTGAAGATAAATTTCATGGTTTTGAGGAGTTTGTGACTGAAAGCAATGCCCGGGAAACCTGAAGTGAAGAAGGAAGGAAGGTAGGAAGAAATGGAGGAAGAGATGAGAGGAAGGAAGGAATAAAGGAAGAGATGAGAGGAAGGACGGAAGGAGGGAAGGAAGAAAGGATGGAGACCATCAGCCTAGGATAACCCAAAAAATTCAGACAGTGACTTATTTCCATGTGGGTTCATGGGGAAAGGGGTGAAGGGATGGGTGATGACAGGCAGTGAAGGTGGTGAGTGATGGCGTGACTTGTCATTGTGGCACTAATTATGCTGGTGACTCAGCATATTTACAAGTCCACCCTCACGCAACAACTACAAGCTTTACAGAAGCTGTAGCAGTTCTGGGAAGTGTCCAGTGACTTTATGTGTATACAGTGGACCCCCGGGTAACGATATTTTTTCTCTCCAGAAGTATGTTCAGGTGCCAGTACTGACCGAATTTGTTCCCATAAGGAATATTGTGAAGTAGATTAGTCCATTTCAGACCCCCAAACATACACGTACAAATGCACTTACATAAATACACTTACATAATTGGTCGCATTCGGAGGTGATCGTTATGCGGGGGTCCACTGTACGTATATGCAAAACAATCACTGTGAAAGAGTAGTGAAATTCCAAGTGCTTTTGTGACTACTCACATTGTCAAAGAACTATGAAAGTAATACATCAAAGGAAGGCAATTAAAGGGCTTAGACCACACCTCACAGTCAACTCCCACAACAAAGGAACACCTGACATGCGATAATACCGGACTCATAAGAAAAGAGGAACACTGCAGTAGGTCCGCTGGTCCAACTACACAGGTCCTCACGACATCCCACTAACAAAATATTCTACCCAAGAAATAAGGTTTATTATTTGTCCAATGTATTATTAAACTCTTCCCAACTTTTTTTAATTATAAATGAATCTAATTTATATAAACCAAAGGAAATATTCATATTATTTTCAAAACTGCTTTTTATGAAACAAGATTCAATTATATTTCTGTCAACCATGGACTTGCTTGATACAACTTTCTCAAATTTTTGAAAATCAATTGGATGGTTAAAATCTCTCACATGAAGAATATTCAGAATATTCTTGGTAAGCTTTCCTAATCATGTTTCTTTTGTTTCACAGTTTTCTTCTACACTGATCAAAATAGATTTACTGTAATGCAGACACCTGCAATATTGTAATAATTGTATAAATAATGTCAACCCATTCATGACTGCATATTAGAATGGCTAGTTGGACATGTATTGGAAAATGACATCATTTGTTTACCTTTGAACATTGGCAAAAATCAAACATTTCCCCTATTTTGAGCTCCATTTCCAGGTTCTTTTTATAGTAAAACCAATCAAAATCACCTCTATTTCTATAATATGTTTTCCATTCTATCAAATGAGACCAAGAAAACGAGAATACAACCATAAATACTATACGAAAATAGACCACAAATTCGGCATTTTAATTAAAAAATAGTCAGTTTTTTTTTCTCATTATGCAGTGTGTGCTGCAGGATTTTTTTATATGGTGCACACTTACCACACAGACCCATTCTCTCACATGTGGGCCTACCAGCTTTCTCCTGCTTGATTTGAAGCCGCTAGAATTTATGAGTATATATACGTCAAACGCGGTGGCTCGTAAGACGTATATATACGGGCGAAAGTCAAAGGGCTATAATACTCACAGGAAAAAAACTATCATTTCATAAGAATATTTTTCAACCCTGAGTGGGAGTTAAGGATCAAGAGTCTCGACCCAGAAAGGGTTAAAGTGTTTCTTTTTCGGGTCACCCTGCCTTGGTGGGAAACAGCCCGCGTTAAAAAAAAAAAAAAAAGTTTACTATTCTGCTTGTAAACAGACTCAGTTGAGTATATGGATAACCTAATTTGCCACTGGGTAGTGACACCTAAGAAAGTACAGTAATACCATCAGAGGCATTATTAACCCATGTAATGAATTTTCAACCCCTTTATTACAAATTCTAAATATAAACATTCAGTGTAAGAGAATGCTTAGTGGCTATTTCTTTATTTTCTGTTAGCAAATCAATCCCAGGAAGAGCTCTTACAAGATATTACAAAGGCAGAGAGACAAAATCCCATTGTGTCATTGTATATATATGAGATTTTATTTGTACTGCAGTGATGATTATTACAATATGTACAAATTAAAATTTTCATAAAAATAGGCTGGAAAATATGGTTTAAACAACACTGGTAACTGCAAAATAAAGAAAAAACAAACTTAAAATCAAATAAGTATGAGCTTACCTGTCATTAGCAATAAGGGATATATCAATCCAGGAAATGTAGGCACCAATTACGTCGTGGCACTGACACACTAGCTCCGGGTGAGATTTGTCATACTTCACCTAGAAAATTTTTTCTACTTATTATGAACTTGACAATAAAGAAGGCTATATTATGCAAGGGTTATCAAATAAGTACTGAACTAGAATTAAATGTGATTCAACACAAGCAGGAAAATCAATAAACAAGAATGAATTCATAGGAAAAATGCTGCTAGAAGATAACTTTATTTTCAATTTTGTTCTGTAGGTGATTTCAGGAACTTTTATGTTTGAAGTTTAATTCTGTAGCAGCTTTATCAAGTCTCACAGAAAACGGGTGTTTTGCCTCATGGTGCTCCGCTAATACGGCGATTTAAAATTATGACCAAAATTTGGTATACGGCGAGCAGTCTTTCAAATATGGCACGCCCCACCTGGTTTGTTTACATTCTCCATGAGCACAACTTTCTATTACCTCTGCAAATTTTCCAAAATTTCAAGTGTTTTAAAGTTATTGCATATTTTATATGTACATACTCTGATAATTATACCTATTTGTACCTGTACCTAAATATACCTACACACTGTGGTGGCATGCAGGTACACATTAAAATCACTAAGTCTCTCCCTACTCAACGCCATATAATCTCTTGGGTGCATGGTATATTACAGTAACCCTTCGACTGTCGCAGGCCCTTTTCTGAAACTGTCATTCTATGTCGATAAATTTTGGAAAAAAAAAAAAAAAATTTCTTATGAAATGCTAGAGAACCTTTTCCCGATGGTAATGACACCAAAATTTTGTAATTTGGTAGAAAACTCACAGAATTACGCTCCAGCGAAGTTAGTGGTCTCGGCGACATATACATATTGGCGATTTTGCCGACTTTGACCCCTATTTTTGGCCAATTCCGTTGTTCAGTTGACCAAACTCATAGCTATTTCTTTAGAACTCCATTTTTTATATCAGTTGAGTACAAGAAACCGCCCATTTACCGATTTGAACTACCCAATAAAGTCACCAGAAATTGGCAATTTGGCCAATTTTATGCAAATTAAAAAAGATGCCAATTTCAAAATAGGGTCTAGAATAAACAATGTATTTCAAAATAGGGTCTAGAATAAACAATGTAGACATTCTTGGCACTAAAATAACATATCCTCTGTTCATTAGTCACGTCTCTAGGCCCCTCTTATATTACTATCGCTTTCTATTTTTATTTTTTATTCATACAAAAAAATACAAAATTTACTGTTATGCAGACTACTGCATTATTGTAAAAATGGTATAAATAATATCAGTACACTAGTGAAAGAATATTAGACTCCCCAGTTGAAGTGTATTGGACGTGTGGTGTGATTTGCTTACTCCTGAACATTGGTAAAAATCAAACATTTCCGCTACTTTCAGCTCAATTTCAAGGTCGTTTTCATCATGAAAGTAATCAAAATCATCTCTATTTCTGTAATATGTTTTCCATTTTATCACCCGAGACCATGAAAATGAGAATACAACGATAAATACTATATGAAAATACACCTCAAAGTCGGCGTTTTAATCCAAAAAAAAGTCAGGTTTTTTTTTCTCATTACGCACTGCAGGATATTTTTTATGTAGTGCACACTGACCACACAGACCCATTCTCTCACATGTGGGCCTACCAGCTTTCTCCCGCTTGATTTGAAGCTGCTAGAATTTACGTGTATAAATACGTCAGAAACAGTGGCGCGCAAGACGTATATATACGACCGAAACAGTCAAAGGGTTAATATAGACATCTCCATTAATCCATCTATGACTTTTCAAAATTATATAATAAACACGCTGCGTAACATATATACATGATACATACACCCACAGTATAAAAATTAACGTAAATATGAGATATGTTTACCAAGCAGTTTATAGAGTGTCAGAAGAATTAAGTTTTCTCTAATCAAACACCAGTAACTTAACTAGAAATTTATTCATTTCATATGCCTTCACTCTATCTATAGCTATTCACAACCACTGTGGGTTTAGCACTTTTTTACTAGGATAATAATAATAACTTGTAATAATAATAATTTGTAATGATAATAATAATACACCTACCATCCGACTTACGGCCAAGCTTGGCTCCGACCAACCGGTCGTAAGTCAAAATGGACGTAAGTCGAACCTTCGAAAATTGCCAACATACTGGGTAGAGCATAATGTCAAACCTTACCTATATAAACTACCTACATAGTACTGTAATATAAGTAATATAATGTACAATTATTATTTCATTCTTTTTACCATAATTTACTTCTATTGATATATTTTAATTATTTATGTACTGTATAATATGTATACATGGTAGTGAACTGTATTGTAAATTTTACATCTCATACAGTATCATATGTAACTGTTATCTTTAAGTATTGTCAACACAGTGGAATGGGAGAAAACCACTGGTAGTGTCTTCCTGCCAGAAGCACTATAACCTATACCCTAAGTAAAGAGAAACAACTCTGGAACATGAGTAATACGTATCCGGCTGGCTGGCCAGGTGGGTGGCTGACTGACTGACAATGTGGCTGTGTATCTATCAATATATATATATATATATATATATATATATATATATATAATATATATATATATATATATATATATATATATATATATATATACACAGTGGACCCCCCGCATAACGATGGCATCGCATAGCGATTTTTCCGCATAACGATTACTTTTATTGCAAAATTTTTGCCGCGCATACCGATTAAAAACCCGCATACCGATTTTCGTCCGAGACGCGTCCAATGTGCCCTCAGCCAGCCTCACATGTGCCGCCCGTCCCATTGTTTACCAGCCAGCCTCCGCGGTAACATCCAAGCATACACTCGGAATATTTCGTATTATTACAGTATTTTCGGTGCTGTTTCTGGAAAATAAGTGACCATGGGCCCCAAGAAAGCTTCTAGTGCCAACCCTGTGGTAAAAAAAGGGTGAGAATTAGTATGGAAATTAAGAAAGATTTTGAAGGGTTTGGGGCTAACCCTGAGAAGCCTATGCCAGTTGTGGAATCCATTGTGCCTACTTCAAAGATTAAGGAAATGTGTGCAGAGTGGGTTGAACTGCAAACCTTTATAGATGAAAATCACCCTGACACAGCTGTTGCAAGCCGTGCTTGTGACTATTTCAATGACAATGTTATGGCCCATTTTAGGAAAGTCTTGAAGGAACGGGAGGTACAGAGCTCTATGGACAGATTTGTTGTGCGACAGAGGTCCAGTGACTCTCAAACTGGTCCTAGTGGCATTAAAAGAAGAAGGGAAGTAACCCCCGAAAAGGACTTGCTACCTCAAGTCCTAATGGAAGGGGATTCCCCTTCTAAACAGTAAGAAGATAATGCTCTCCCCCTCCTCCCATCCCATCAATCATCACCAGATCTTCAATAAAAGTAAGTGTCATGTAATTGTGCATGCCTTTTTCAGTTTGTGTGTATTAAAATTAACATTTCATGTGGTAAAAAAAAATTTTTTTCATACTTTTGGGCGTCTTGCACGGATTAATTTTATTTCCATTATTTCTTATGGGGAAAATTCATTCGCATAACGATTATTTCGCATAACGATGAGCCCTCTTGCACGGATTAAAATCGTTAACCGGGGGTCCACTGTATATATATATAATATAATATAATATAATATAATATAATATATATATATATATATATAATATATATAATATATATATATATATATAAAATATATATAATATAATATAATATAATTAATATTAATTATATATATATATATATATATATTATATATATATATATATCTAGGTAGTAGGTTGGTAGACAGCAACCGCCCAGGGAGATACTACCGTCCTGCCAAGTGAGTGTAAAACGTAAGCCTGTAATTGTTTTACACGATGGTAGGATTGCTGGTGTTTTTTCTGTCTCATAAACATGCAAGGTTTCAGGTACGTCTTGCTACTTCTGCTTACACTTAGGTCACACTACACATACATGTACAAGCATATGTATACACACACCTCTGGGTTTTCTTCTATTTTCTTACTAGCTCTTGTTCTTGTTTATTTCCTCTTATCTCCATGGGGAAGTGGAACAGAATTCTTCCTCCGTAAGCTATGCGTGTTGTAAGAGGCGACTAAAATGCCAGGAGCAAGGGGCTAGTAACCCCTTCTCCTGTATATATTACTAAATGTGAAAGGAGAAACTTTTGTTTTTCCTTTTGGGCCACCCCGCCTCGGTGGGATATGGCTGGTGTGTTGAAAGAAAGAAAGAAAGAAAGATACATACATACATACATACATACATACATACATACATACATACATATATATATATATATATATATATATATATATATATAAATATATATTTTATATATGTATGTATGTATGTATGTATGTATACAATACAATCACAGTAAACAGGTGATTTCAAAATATGCAAAACAACCACTCTGAAAGAATAGAGAAATTCCAAGCGCTTTCGTGACTCCTCACATTATCAAAGAACTATGAAAGTAAAGCATCCAAGGAAGCTATATAAGGGGTCCGGCCAGCACCTCGCTATCAGATCCCACAACGGTTAAACACGTGACGCACGGTGACCCAACTTGGATAGGTCCTTTGCACAACTCACCCCCAAGCTATTCTACCCAAGAAAATTTAAAAATTATCACTTGTCCAGTGCATTATTAAATTCTTCCCAAATTCTATTAATTATTAATGGATCTAATTTATATAAAACCAAAGAAATTATTCATTATTATTGTCAAAACTTGCTTTTATGAAACAAGATTCAATTATATTCCTGTCGACGCATGAATTCTTGCTTGATACTACTTTCCTCAACTTTTTGAAAATCAATTGGATGGTTAAAATCTCTATATGAATAATAGAGCATTGGAATCTTTCCAGTTCAAATGCAATAATTTATGTTGTTTTAATCTATTTCGAGATTTTTACCAGTTTGAGACCGTAAAAACTTTATTCGCAAATTTTTACAAGGAATCTTATAGACACATCCATCAGCATTTTGGGGAATTCTTTCAAAGTGTTTTTAGACTGTATAAAG